CTAATAATACTTGGTCAAAGTTTCCCGACTGTCTATATCTACTTATGGAGACGTTAAGACATTGTTTTACAACTGTTTATCCGCACACACACACACACACATGCACACTGTGTTTAAAGTGTTTAACAAAGGTAGATCAATATTTGTAAGTCTGAGGTCAAATTTTGATCACAACTCGTACAATTTTGTTTATTATACTTGTTAATATTTGTTTTATAAATCATGATTGGACAAAGTTTTTAAAAACTAAAGATGTTCCTTTTATATATAAACCTGTTATGTTAATTTCGATTAATTTCCCTGAAGAAGTTCGGACCAGATTGCCGAACGAAACGTTGGAATTACTCATTTCAATATCGCTGAGATTTTACAAATATAATTTTTTACAAATGTCTACTTCTCACTCGGCGCCCAAATATTATAGAACTATTCTGTCAAATCTTGACTACAGTTCATTTGATTTATTTTGTAATCGAATTAAATTAACAAAGAAACTATGTAATTGGCACAATCATCGTGTTTCCACTCTCCGTTGTCTGCAGCAGAATGCGTATCCTAAATTCGTAGCTGTCCAGTCACCTGACAACTTCAGTAGGTCGAATAAAGCAGCTCAATTTTCAGAAAGAAGACAAAGTAATAAGTTTGACGGGGTTGTTCAACTAAACTCTAATCCTAAACACCATAATTTCGAAAATACGTCTAATCATAAAATTCTAGATACTAACAGTTTGAACAGACATGAAGGTGTGATGTTAGATGACGCATAGGAAATCCTGATTAATTAATAAATAAGAATGGATATGTATCACTAACTAATAATACTTGGTCAAAGTTTCCCGACTGTCTGTCTCTACTTATGGAGACGTTAAGACAATGTTTTACAACTGTTTATCCGCACACACACACACACGCATGCACACTGTCTTTAAAGTGTTTAACAAAGGTAGATCAATATTTGTAAGTCTGAGGTCAAATTTTGATCACAACTCGTACAATTTTGTTTATTATACTTGTTAATATTTGTTTTATAAATCATGATTGGACAAAGTTTTTAAAAACTAAAGATGTTCCTTTCATATATAAACCTGTTATGTTAATTTCGATTAATTTCCCTGAAGAAGTTCGGACCAGATTGCCGAACGAAACGTTGGAATTACTCATTTCAATATCGCTGAGATTTTACAAATATAATTTTTTACAAATGTCTACTTCTCACTCGGCGCCGAAATATTATAGAACTATTCTGTCAAATCTTGACTACAGTTCATTTGATTTATTTTGTAATCGAATTAAATTAACAAAGAAACTATGTAATTGGCACAATCATCGTGTTTCCACTCTCCGTTGTCTGCAGCAGAATGCGTATCCTAAATTCGTAGCTGTCCAGTCACCTGACAACTTCAGTAGGTCGAATAAAGCAGCTCAATTTTCAGAAAGAAGACAAAGTAATAAGTTTGACAGGGTGCTTCAACTCAACTCTAATCCTAAACACCATAATTTTGAAAATACGTCTAATCATAAAATTCTAGATACTAACAGTTTGAACAGACATGAAGGTGTGATGTTAGATGACGCATAGGAAATCCTGATTAATTAATAAATAAGAATGGATATGTATCACTAACTAATAAGACTTGGTCAAAGTTTCCCGACTGTCTGTCTCTACTTATGGAGAGGTTAAGACAATGTCTTACAACTGTTTATCCGCACACAGCGACACACGCATGCACACTGTCTTTAAAGTGTTTCACAAAGGTAGACCAATATTTGTGAGTCTGAGGTCAAATTTTGATCACAACTCGTACAATTTTGTTTATTATACTTGTTAATATTTGTTTTATGAATCATGATTGGACAAAGTTTTTAAAAACAAAAGATCTTCCTTTCATATATAAACCTGTTATGTTAATTTCGATTAATTTCCCTGAAGAAGTTCGGACCAGATTGCCGAACGAAACGTTGGAATTACTCATTTCAATATCGCTGAGATTTTACAAATATAATTTTTTACAAATGTCTACTTCTCACTCGGCGCCCAAATATTATAGAACTATTCTGTCAAATCTTGACTACAGTTCATTTGATTTATTTTGTAATCGAATTAAATTAACAAAGAAACTATGTAATTGGCACAATCATCGTGTTTCCACTCTCCGTTGTCTGCAGCAGAATGCGTATCCTAAATTCGTAGCTGTCCAGTCACCTGACAACTTCAGTAGGTCGAATAATGCAGCTCAATTTTCAGAAAGAAGACAAAGTAATAAGTTTGACGGGGTGCTTCAACTAAACTCTAATCCTAAACACCATAATTTCGAAAATACGTCTAATCATAAAATTCTAGATACTAACAGTTTGAACAGACATGAAGGTGTGATGTTAGATGACGCATAGGAAATCCTGATTAATTAATAAATAAGAATGGATATGTATCACTAACTAATAATACTTGGTCAAAGTTTCCCGACTGTCTATATCTACTTATGGAGACGTTAAGACATTGTTTTACAACTGTTTATCCGCACACACACACACACACATGCACACTGTGTTTAAAGTGTTTAACAAAGGTAGATCAATATTTGTAAGTCTGAGGTCAAATTTTGATCACAACTCGTACAATTTTGTTTATTATACTTGTTAATATTTGTTTTATAAATCATGATTGGACAAAGTTTTTAAAAACTAAAGATGTTCCTTTTATATATAAACCTGTTATGTTAATTTCGATTAATTTCCCTGAAGAAGTTCGGACCAGATTGCCGAACGAAACGTTGGAATTACTCATTTCAATATCGCTGAGATTTTACAAATATAATTTTTTACAAATGTCTACTTCTCACTCGGCGCCCAAATATTATAGAACTATTCTGTCAAATCTTGACTACAGTTCATTTGATTTATTTTGTAATCGAATTAAATTAACAAAGAAACTATGTAATTGGCACAATCATCGTGTTTCCACTCTCCGTTGTCTGCAGCAGAATGCGTATCCTAAATTCGTAGCTGTCCAGTCACCTGACAACTTCAGTAGGTCGAATAAAGCAGCTCAATTTTCAGAAAGAAGACAAAGTAATAAGTTTGACGGGGTTGTTCAACTAAACTCTAATCCTAAACACCATAATTTCGAAAATACGTCTAATCATAAAATTCTAGATACTAACAGTTTGAACAGACATGAAGGTGTGATGTTAGATGACGCATAGGAAATCCTGATTAATTAATAAATAAGAATGGATATGTATCACTAACTAATAATACTTGGTCAAAGTTTCCCGACTGTCTATATCTACTTATGGAGACGTTAAGACATTGTTTTACAACTGTTTATCCGCACACACACACACACACATGCACACTGTGTTTAAAGTGTTTAACAAAGGTAGATCAATATTTGTAAGTCTGAGGTCAAATTTTGATCACAACTCGTACAATTTTGTTTATTATACTTGTTAATATTTGTTTTATGAATCATGATTGGACAAAGTTTTTAAAAACAAAAGATGTTCCTTTCATATATAAACCTGTTATGTTAATTTCGATTAATTTCCCTGAAGAAGTTCGGACCAGATTGCCGAACGAAACGTTGGAATTACTCATTTCAATATCGCTGAGATTTTACAAATATAATTTTTTACAAATGTCTACTTCTCACTCGGCGCCCAAATATTATAGAACTATTCTGTCAAATCTTGACTACAGTTCATTTGATTTATTTTGTAATCGAATTAAATTCACAAAGAAACTATGTAATTGGCACAATCATCGTGTTTCCACTCTCCGTTGTCTGCAACAGAATGCATATCCTAACTCCATAGCTGTCCAGTCACCTGACAACTTCAGTAGGTCGAATAAAGCAGCTCAATCTTCAAAAAGAAGACAAAGCAATAAGTTCGACAGGGTGCTTCAACTAAACTCTAATCCTAAACACCATAATTTCGAAAATACGTCTAATCATAAAATTCTAGATACTAACAGTTTGAACAGACATGAAGGTGTGATGTTAGATGACGCATAGGAAATCCTGATTAATTAATAAATAAGAATGGATATGTATCACTAACTAATAATACTTGGTCAAAGTTTCCCGACTGTCTATATCTACTTATGGAGACGTTAAGACATTGTTTTACAACTGTTTATCCGCACAGACACACACACATACACACTGTGTTTAAAGTGTTTAACAAAGGTAGATCAATATTTGTAAGTCTGAGGTCAAATTTTGATCACAACTCGTACAATTTTGTTTATTATACTTGTTAATATTTGTTTTATGAATCATGATTGGACAAAGTTTTTAAAAACTAAAGATGTTCCTTTTATATATAAACCTGTTATGTTAATTTCGATTAATTTCCCTGAAGAAGTTCGGACCAGATTGCCGAACGAAACGTTGGAATTACTCATTTCAATATCGCTGAGATTTTACAAATATAATTTTTTACAAATGTCTACTTCTCACTCGGCGCCCAAATATTATAGAACTATTCTGTCAAATCTTGACTACAGTTCATTTGATTTATTTTGTAATCGAATTAAATTAACAAAGAAACTATGTAATTGGCACAATCATCGTGTTTCCACTCTCCGTTGTCTGCAGCAGAATGCATATCCTAAATTCGTAGCTGTCCAGTCACCTGACAACTTCAGTAGGTCGAATAAAGCAGCTCAATTTTCAGAAAGAAGACAAAGTAATAAGTTTGACAGGGTGCTTCAACTAAACTCTAATCCTAAACACCATAATTTCGAAAATACGTCTAATCATAAAATTCTAGATACTAACAGTTTGAACAGACATGAAGGTGTGATGTTAGATGACGCATAGGAAATCCTGATTAATAATAAATAAGAATGGATATGTATCACTAACTAATAATACTTGGTCAAAGTTTCCCGACTGTCTATCTCTACTTATGGAGAGGTTAAGAAAATGTCTTACAACTGTTAAAAAAAACAGCGACACACGCATGCACACTGTCTTTAAAGTGTTTCACAAAGGTAGACCAATATTTGTGAGTCTGAGGTCAAATTTTGATCACAACTCGTACAATTTTGTTTATTATACTTGTTAATATTTGTTTTATGAATCATGATTGGACAAAGTTTTTAAAAACAAAAGATCTTCCTTTCATATATAAACCTGTTATGTTAATTTCGATTAATTTCCCTGAAGAAGTTCGGACCAGATTGACGAACGAAACGTTGGAATTACTCATTTCAATATCGCTGAGATTTTACAAATATAATATTTTACAAATGTCTACTTCTCACTCGGCGCCGAAATATTATAGAAGTATTCTGTCAAATCTTGACTACAGTTCATTGGATTTATTTTGTAATCGAATTAAATTCACAAAGAAACTATGTAATTGGCACAATCATCGTGTTTCCACTCTCCGTTGTCTGCACCAGAATGCCTATCCTAAATTCGTAGCTGTCCAGTCACCTGACAACTTCAGTAGGTCGAATAATGCAGCTGAATTTTCAGAAAGAAGACAAAGTAATAAGTTTGACAGGGTGCTTCAACTCAACTCTAATCCTAAACACCATAATTTTGAAAATACGTCTAATCATAAAATTCTAGATACTAACAGTTTGAACAGACATGAAGGTGTGATGTTAGATGACGCATAGGAAATCCTGATTAAATAATAAATAAGAATGGATATGTATCACTAACTAATAAGACTTGGTCAAAGTTTCCCGACTGTCTGTCTCTACTTATGGAGAGGTTAAGAAAATGTCTTACAACTGTTAAAAAAAACAGCGACACACGCATGCACACTGTCTTTAAAGTGTTTCACAAAGGTAGACCAATATTTGTGAGTCTGAGGTCAAATTTTGATCACAACTCGTACAATTTTGTTTATTATACTTGTTAATATTTGTTTTATGAATCATGATTGGACAAAGTTTTTAAAAACAAAAGATCTTCCTTTCATATATAAACCTGTTATGTTAATTTCGATTAATTTCCCTGAAGAAGTTCGGACCAGATTGACGAACGAAACGTTGGAATTACTCATTTCAATATCGCTGAGATTTTACAAATATAATATTTTACAAATGTCTACTTCTCACTCGGCGCCGAAATATTATAGAAGTATTCTGTCAAATCTTGACTACAGTTCATTGGATTTATTTTGTAATCGAATTAAATTCACAAAGAAACTATGTAATTGGCACAATCATCGTGTTTCCACTCTCCGTTGTCTGCAGCAGAATGCCTATCCTAAATTCGTAGCTGTCCAGTCACCTGACAACTTCAGTAGGTCGAATAATGCAGCTGAATTTTCAGAAAGAAGACAAAGTAATAAGTTTGACAGGGTGCTTCAACTCAACTCTAATCCTAAACACCATAATTTTGAAAATACGTCTAATCATAAAATTCTAGATACTAACAGTTTGAACAGACATGAAGGTGTGATGTTAGATGACGCATAGGAAATCCTGATTAAATAATAAATAAGAATGGATATGTATCACTAACTAATAAGACTTGGTCAAAGTTTCCCGACTGTCTGTCTCTACTTATGGAGAGGTTAAGACAATGTCTTACAACTGTTTATCAGAACACAGACACACGCATGCACACTGTCTTTAAAGTGTTTCACAAAGGTAGACCAATATTTGTGAGTCTGAGGTCAAATTTTGATCACAACTCGTACAATTTTGTTTATTATACTTGTTAATATTTGTTTTATGAATCATGATTGGACAAAGTTTTTAAAAACAAAAGATCTTCCTTTAATATATAAACCTGTTATGTTAATTTCGATTAATTTCCCTGAAGAAGTTCGGACCAGATTGACGAACGAAACGTTGGAATTACTCATTTCAATATCGCTGAGATTTTACAAATATAATATTTTACAAATGTCTACTTCTCACTCGGCGCCGAAATATTATAGAAGTATTCTGTCAAATCTTGACTACAGTTCATTGGATTTATTTTGTAATCGAATTAAATTCACAAAGAAACTATGTAATTGGCACAATCATCGTGTTTCCAAACTCTCCGTTGTCTGCACCAGAATGCCTATCCTAAATTCGTAGCTGTCCAGTCACCTGACAACTTCAGTAGGTCGAATAATGCAGCTGAATTTTCAGAAAGAAGACAAAGTAATAAGTTTGACGGGGTGCTTCAACTCAACTCTAATCCTAAACACCATAATTTTGAAAATACGTCTAATCATAAAATTCTAGATACTAACAGTTTGAACAGACATGAAGGTGTGATGTTAGATGACGCATAGGAAATCCTGATTAAATAATAAATAAGAATGGATATGTATCACTAACTAATAAGACTTGGTCAAAGTTTCCCGACTGTCTGTCTCTACTTATGGAGAGGTTAAGAAAATGTCTTACAACTGTTAAAAAAAAAAACAGCGACACACGCATGCACACTGTCTTTAAAGTGTTTCACAAAGGTAGACCAATATTTGTGAGTCTGAGGTCAAATTTTGATCACAACTCGTACAATTTTGTTTATTATACTTGTTAATATTTGTTTTATGAATCATGATTGGACAAAGTTTTTAAAAACAAAAGATCTTCCTTTCATATATAAACCTGTTATGTTAATTTCGATTAATTTCCCTGAAGAAGTTCGGACCAGATTGACGAACGAAACGTTGGAATTACTCATTTCAATATCGCTGAGATTTTACAAATATAATATTTTACAAATGTCTACTTCTCACTCGGCGCCGAAATATTATAGAAGTATTCTGTCAAATCTTGACTACAGTTCATTGGATTTATTTTGTAATCGAATTAAATTCACAAAGAAACTATGTAATTGGCACAATCATCGTGTTTCCAACTCTCCGTTGTCTGCACCAGAATGCCTATCCTAAATTCGTAGCTGTCCAGTCACCTGACAACTTCAGTAGGTCGAATAATGCAGCTGAATTTTCAGAAAGAAGACAAAGTAATAAGTTTGACAGGGTGCTTCAACTCAACTCTAATCCTAAACACCATAATTTTGAAAATACGTCTAATCATAAAATTCTAGATACTAACAGTTTGAACAGACATGAAGGTGTGATGTTAGATGACGCATAGGAAATCCTGATTAATTAATAAATAAGAATGGATATGTATCACTAACTAATAAGACTTGGTCAAAGTTTCCCGACTGTCTGTCTCTACTTATGGAGAGGTTAAGACAATGTCTTACAACTGTTTATCCGCACACACACAGACACACGCATGCACACTGTCTTTAAAGTGTTTCACAAAGGTAGACCAATATTTGTGAGTCTGAGGTCAAATTTTGATCACAACTCGTACAATTTTGTTTATTATACTTGTTAATATTTGTTTTATGAATCATGATTGGACAAAGTTTTTAAAAACTAAAGATCTTCCTTTCATATATAAACCTGTTATGTTAATTTCGATTAATTTCCCTGAAGAAGTTCGGACCAGATTGACGAACGAAACGTTGGAATTACTCATTTCAATATCGCTGAGATTTTACAAATATAATATTTTACAAATGTCTACTTCTCACTCGGCGCCGAAATATTATAGAAGTATTCTGTCAAATCTTGACTACAGTTCATTGGATTTATTTTGTAATCGAATTAAATTCACAAAGAAACTATGTAATTGGCACAATCATCGTGTTTCCACTCTCCGTTGTCTGCAGCAGAATGCCTATCCTAAATTCGTAGCTGTCCAGTCACCTGACAACTTCAGTAGGTCGAATAATGCAGCTGAATTTTCAGAAAGAAGACAAAGTAATAAGTTTGACAGGGTGCTTCAACTCAACTCTAATCCTAAACACCATAATTTTGAAAATACGTCTAATCATAAAATTCTAGATACTAACAGTTTGAACAGACATGAAGGTGTGATGTTAGATGACGCATAGGAAATCCTGATTAATTAATAAATAAGAATGGATATGTATCACTAACTAATAAGACTTGGTCAAAGTTTCCCGACTGTCTGTCTCTACTTATGGAGAGGTTAAGACAATGTCTTACAACTGTTAAAAAAAAAAAACAGCGACACACGCATGCACACTGTCTTTAAAGTGTTTCACAAAGGTAGACCAATATTTGTGAGTCTGAGGTCAAATTTTGATCACAACTCGTACAATTTTGTTTATTATACTTGTTAATATTTGTTTTATGAATCATGATTGGACAAAGTTTTTAAAAACAAAAGATCTTCCTTTCATATATAAACCTGTTATGTTAATTTCGATTAATTTCCCTGAAGAAGTTCGGACCAGATTGACGAACGAAACGTTGGAATTACTCATTTCAATATCGCTGAGATTTTACAAATATAATATTTTACAAATGTCTACTTCTCACTCGGCGCCGAAATATTATAGAAGTATTCTGTCAAATCTTGACTACAGTTCATTGGATTTATTTTGTAATCGAATTAAATTAACAAAGAAACTATGTAATTGGCACAATCATCGTGTTTCCACTCTCCGTTGTCTGCAGCAGAATGCGTATCCTAAATTCGTAGCTGTCCAGTCACCTGACAACTTCAGTAGGTCGAATAAAGCAGCTCAATTTTCAGAAAGAAGACAAAGTAATAAGTTTGACGGGGTTGTTCAACTAAACTCTAATCCTAAACACCATAATTTCGAAAATACGTCTAATCATAAAATTCTAGATACTAACAGTTTGAACAGACATGAAGGTGTGATGTTAGATGACGCATAGGAAATCCTGATTAATTAATAAATAAGAATGGATATGTATCACTAACTAATAATACTTGGTCAAAGTTTCCCGACTGTCTATATCTACTTATGGAGACGTTAAGACATTGTTTTACAACTGTTTATCCGCACACACACACACACACATACACACTGTGTTTAAAGTGTTTAACAAAGGTAGATCAATATTTGTAAGTCTGAGGTCAAATTTTGATCACAACTCGTACAATTTTGTTTATTATACTTGTTAATATTTGTTTTATAAATCATGATTGGACAAAGTTTTTAAAAACTAAAGATGTTCCTTTTATATATAAACCTGTTATGTTAATTTCGATTAATTTCCCTGAAGAAGTTCGGACCAGATTGCCGAACGAAACGTTGGAATTACTCATTTCAATATCGCTGAGATTTTACAAATATAATTTTTTACAAATGTCTACTTCTCACTCGGCGCCCAAATATTATAGAACTATTCTGTCAAATCTTGACTACAGTTCATTTGATTTATTTTGTAATCGAATTAAATTAACAAAGAAACTATGTAATTGGCACAATCATCGTGTTTCCACTCTCCGTTGTCTGCAGCAGAATGCGTATCCTAAATTCGTAGCTGTCCAGTCACCTGACAACTTCAGTAGGTCGAATAAAGCAGCTCAATTTTCAGAAAGAAGACAAAGTAATAAGTTTGACGGGGTTGTTCAACTAAACTCTAATCCTAAACACCATAATTTCGAAAATACGTCTAATCATAAAATTCTAGATACTAACAGTTTGAACAGACATGAAGGTGTGATGTTAGATGACGCATAGGAAATCCTGATTAATTAATAAATAAGAATGGATATGTATCACTAACTAATAATACTTGGTCAAAGTTTCCCGACTGTCTATATCTACTTATGGAGACGTTAAGACATTGTTTTACAACTGTTTATCCGCACACACACACACACACACATACACACTGTGTTTAAAGTGTTTAACAAAGGTAGATCAATATTTGTAAGTCTGAGGTCAAATTTTGATCACAACTCGTACAATTTTGTTTATTATACTTGTTAATATTTGTTTTATAAATCATGATTGGACAAAGTTTTTTAAAAACTAAAGATGTTCCTTTTATATATAAACCTGTTATGTTAATTTCGATTAATTTCCCTGAAGAAGTTCGGACCAGATTGCCGAACGAAACGTTGGAATTACTCATTTCAATATCGCTGAGATTTTACAAATATAATTTTTTACAAATGTCTACTTCTCACTCGGCGCCCAAATATTATAGAACTATTCTGTCAAATCTTGACTACAGTTCATTTGATTTATTTTGTAATCGAATTAAATTAACAAAGAAACTATGTAATTGGCACAATCATCGTGTTTCCACTCTCCGTTGTCTGCAGCAGAATGCGTATCCTAAATTCGTAGCTGTCCAGTCACCTGACAACTTCAGTAGGTCGAATAAAGCAGCTCAATTTTCAGAAAGAAGACAAAGTAATAAGTTTGACGGGGTTGTTCAACTAAACTCTAATCCTAAACACCATAATTTCGAAAATACGTCTAATCATAAAATTCTAGATACTAACAGTTTGAACAGACATGAAGGTGTGATGTTAGATGACGCATAGGAAATCCTGATTAATTAATAAATAAGAATGGATATGTATCACTAACTAATAATACTTGGTCAAAGTTTCCCGACTGTCTATATCTACTTATGGAGACGTTAAGACATTGTTTTACAACTGTTTATCCGCACACACACACACACACATACACACTGTGTTTAAAGTGTTTAACAAAGGTAGATCAATATTTGTAAGTCTGAGTTCAAATTTTGATCAGAACTCGTACAATTTTGTTTATTATACTTGTTAATATTTGTTTTATAAATCATGATTGGACAAAGTTTTTTAAAAACTAAAGATGTTCCTTTTATATATAAACCTGTTATGTTAATTTCGATTAATTTCCCTGAAGAAGTTCGGACCAGATTGCCGAACGAAACGTTGGAATTACTCATTTCAATATCGCTGAGATTTTACAAATATAATTTTTTACAAATGTCTAAATTTATTTTTATATGAAAATAAATTATTATTATTATTATTATTATTATTTCGGCAGAGTAACAAAGCCCGAGGTCAAGTACAGAAGGAAAGATAGTGATAGGCTTGTCGTATATAGTTATGCGTGGTGCGATACGTAAACGAGTTGAGCATAACAGACCACACTTCTGCACGTTGATCTGCATCATCCACGACTTACACCAAGTTTCAATATTATCAATATCCGATTGGATTTTATAAGATAGGTTTGTCAGTTCTTGGGTGGTACTGTAGTAGACTACTTTCAAGTCATCGGCATATAAGAAGGGTCTGCCATGCTTTATAACATTACAGACGTCATTTAGGTATATAAGAAAGAAGAGAGGTCCTAGTACACTACCTTGAATTACGCCACTTGATATAGGAGTGGTACTGGAAAAAGTGTCGTTAATCTTAACAGACTGGGACCGACCACGCATAAACGAATTACACCAGTCTAATAGATTGCCAGATATACCATAAGCCTTAAGTTTTTTCAGGAGTAAATCACGACATACTTTGTCGAATGCCTTCTTAAGATCGATATACACAATGAGCACAAGGAATTTTTGATCAATAAGTCCAGTTATAAAATCGAATAGTTCCAGGTGGCAAGTCATACATGATCTGGACTTCATAAAACCATGTTGAGAAGGTGTTATGAGGTTTTCAGTCAATAAGAAGTCAGTGATTTTGGTACTGATTATCTTCTCAAGTATCCTAGACAAGACAGACGTTATATTGATTGGCCTGTAATTTTTTACATCACATTTTGAGCCGGATTTAAATCTAGGGACAATATGTGTCTGCTTCCATTTGGAAGGATAAACTCCGTTCATAAGGGACGTTGAGAATATTTTAAGCAAAAGGAGAGGTAGATCGGAGCCACCATGTTTTAGGAAGAATGACGGAATTGAGTCAGGTCCAGGAGTATTGGAAAATTTCAATGAACGCACTGCACTTTCTATAACATCAACAGTCAAGCATATATTTGACAGTGTTTTGCCTGTTAACGAGTCAAATTCTATGCATCCAGAAATATCATGCGTGTATGAGTCAGAAAAGTGCTTGTTAAAGAGTTCAGCTATGCCTGCATCATCCTTAACAACGACATTATTATGAAGAATGTAAGGAATGTTGCCTTGTTTTTGTTTTAGTCTTTTTTGGAAGAGTTTGCAAAGGGAGCTAATTTTGGAGTTACTTTTAAGGGCGATAAGTTCTTCTTTGTAAATTTTAACGGCATTATCTGATCTGATTTTATCGTATACCTTTAGGATGCTAATGAGCGAGGAGAAGTCCATAGATTTATTATAGGTTCTACGGAGTCTTCTTAGCTTATTCCTGGTAGCATTCGGTATATGTAATTGATTTACACAGTTGCGTTTGGATGTATACCAAGGGATAGATTCGTTGAAGCAAACAGATATGTTGGAGTAGAAACTGTCAAGGGCAGTATCAATGTCTGCCGAGGAGAAAAAGGTATCCCAGTCTTGGCAACGAATAAAAGACTGCGTTGTTTCCCAATTAGCCTTTGAAAAGTTTCTGACTTTTACTGTCCGACGACGCCCTTTGCCTGACCTACCTGCTGTTAGGTTAAAGGTGGAAGTGACCGTGTTGTGGTCGCTGCCAGGGAATAAAGGCCCAACTCGAGTGCTGACGGGGAGAATGTTATGTGTGAAGATTAGATCTAAGATGTTGGATTTACGTGTGGGGTGAATAACATTTTGTGTCCATCCATAGAGTTCAACCGAATTTATAAAACGATCAGTGTATTTAGGAACCTTAAGGCTATTCCACTGGATACCAGGCATGTTAAAGTCGCCAGCTATAATTTTATAGTCAAAATTTAGAGAGGAGACGTGTTCGAAAATTTCACATAGACGGTTCGTTGTGTTAGTATCAGAATTGGGCGGGCGATATAAACATCCCAATAAGAGTCTTGTATTTAAGTTGGTGTTGAGTGTAACCCCTACTGCATCTGTCAGTGAGCAACCCAAATCATCAACTTCTACAGCGTGGAATTTATTGCTAACAAAGATAAGACAACCACCACCACGTCCTTCTTCTCTGCCATGTCTAAAGTGTGTGTATCCTGGTGATTCTAGTAGTCTGTCATTGAAGTCAGGTGGTAACCATATCTCGGTAACTAACATTACTGAGGGCTTACAAAGTGAAAGTAAGGAGTGAAGGTATGGAATTTTATTGCAGATAGAACGAGCGTTTATAAGGAAAAGAGTAAAAAGGTGGGAGGGTGGTGACTGCTATTCAGTGGATATGATGGTGGGGACTTAAGAGAACCACCCTTATCTGTGGGAATGCACTATACTGCTAAGGCTCATGAGGATGAATTACTTCAAAAAGAATAAATAAATAAACAAATAAAATAAAAAATAAATGCTGCCTGTATGTCACAGCTTGCGTACAAACTCTTTGAAAAAATGGCTCATGATACCACTTCTCTACTTCAGGAGGACATCTAACTGTATAAATCAGAACAACAGCATAAATCAGTATTACTATACTTACTCTTTTCTTCTAAATAACTTATGTACTTTGGCATTTGGATTTCACTTCTTCAGTTATTATTCCCAACATTACCCTATATAAGAGTGAAAACCATAATTCGTTTCGCCCTAATTTTTACTTTTTTTATTGTTATTCTACACTTCAGTTGTTGTTTACTACTATAAACTTAATCTAACCGTTAGTATGTGACACTATAAAACTCAATGACTAGAAATTCCTAGCAATAAAAAAGGAGAATAAACCCTGCGGTTATCGCATATTGTTTGCTTAAATTATTATTATCTGCTGGCTGCTTCTGTTTTCTTCACTTCTCGAAGGTATTGCACTGAAGCACTGCTAATGGACAGTAATCCTGCTTTCTACACCCGTATTACTTGAGCGGTATCCAGAATATTGTTAGCACTTACGATGAACAACGGAACAAACTCCATTCTGAATTCTGTTCAACATCGCAAATTTAGCTTTGCGACCAATTGGTCCCTTTTATCTGCTAATACCAATATAATGCTGTACTTACCATCTAATGTGGATTTTTATAAACTTTCGGGTGACTCTAAAGAATAGCGGCCCAAACCGAAACGACCTGTCAACGCAAAAATGACCTTGACAGGGACAACTTCGGCCAATGAGAAGGCTCAAAAAGAAAGGCGCATAATTGTAAAAAACGGTTTATATAAAAGGAATGCAATCATAATAAACAGTTACAAAGAATGGCGTTCGCGTATATGTTGCAAAAAACCTCCCAGTTTCTCATGGGAGTCTTCATAGTCATACGAAGCCAGTTTCGGTACATAAATTCATCCAGGTAACTGTAAACCATGGGATTTCTCGATCCATTAACCGCTCTTATACGTCTTTTTAGACGACTCCAAAAACTTTCAATGGAACTGGTGTGGGTTCCATCCAAAGGATTCCGGAAACCGTCCGTATGATTCACAACATGATGTATGTACCCATGATTCGATAATTGACGGTATCCGCTCCATTCATCTGTTTGAATAGTCGTCCCCGGCAACACCAAACGCTTATTAATAGGTACTAATACTGCTGCACTGCGATTGGGAATCGCTTCTATACACCCTTTGCTCAGTATCGTGTCGTAGATACCCAGTATCCACTGCTGGTTTGCTTGCAATCTCCCGCGGTTGTATTTCCTTTTTATAAGTACAGTCTCATCAATATGGACTATGCTGCCGACTCCCCCGAGAACTTGAGTCAGGGTGTTCATTTTCCAGGAGGAAACTTCTCTGCAGTAGTTGTACCATTGCACTGCTGACACCTCTGAATTTAATGTTTCATAAGCTGTAGCTGTGACTGCTCTTTTCAGGACCCAGAAGTTACAGATCATTAAAATTTTCTTCAAAGGTAGTTTAGACCTTGAGAGAAAAGTTCCTAAGGCATCTGTAAACTAAAAAAACAACGACAAACCTTCTCGAACCGATTTCCTCCTTCGGCACTCAATACATCTGTATACAAAGCCATCAATGGCCTCTGTGTATTTTTGTATATGCATAACTCCTCCGCATTGGCAAATTTTCGACAAAGCTATCAGTCCGTTATCCAAACAGTAATCGAAGACATCCATGATTGCTTCCGAAAATGATAGTCAGCGGATTCCTTGCTCAAGGTCACTTTTTTGTTCGAAGGTCGTTTCGGTTTGGGCCGCTATTCTTTAGAGTCACCAACTTTCGAACCCTTATTGGTTGACAAAATGATAATAATAACGGTCTGCACCCAGTGTGTCTTACTCTAGCACCTGTATATCACCTCTCTTCTTACCTTCCATTAACGCAAAATTTCATAATTCCCGCATGAATCTGACTCACTATGAGTATATTAAATATTATAATTTAGACTTAAACCAAAATCTTATATTCTATTCTTATAAGGTTTCTAGAGGTCATTTTCCAATTTTTAATTTCATAAAACAGTGTTCAATTTCAGACTGCACTTGTCTAATATGATCATGCCTGTACAAACGGTATGTGAATCATGTAAATGCTTAATTTATGTGAAATATATTATTATGATCTTTGATTAGTGGTATGGGACGAGGCAAAATGAAGGAGATGATGATGTGATTCGGCTGAGGTTAAATGAAAGTTAGATGATGGTCTGACCGGTATATCGAGTGTTCGGTGCTTAAAGCCTTCATCGTTTTAGTTAAGATTCTGTGAAAAGGAAGA